TTAACTCATGAGCCTCTGAAGGCTCTGAACCAGAGTTGTGAACCATCGATTATGACCAACTTCTGCTATTGCTCTAAATTTTTTTCGTACTCTCTGACCTACTCGGATTTCATTATAAGATTTAATTGATATGTTTTTTACGCTAGTCGGTGCAAATAGAGTGTATGTGTGTGTGTGTGTGTGTGTGTGTGTGTGTGTGTGTGTGTGTGTGTGTGTGTGTGTGTGTGTGTGTGTGTGTGTGTGTTCGTGTTTGTGTATGCTCGAGTGTGTGTTTATGTTCTTCTGCAAAAAGATCACAGTAAACAGGTGATATCACAATATGCAAAACAACCACTGTTAAAAAATTGTGAAATTCCAAGCCCTCCCGTAATTTCTCACATTATCAAGAACTTGTAATAATAATAGAATTTCAGGTCACTGATAATGCGAGAAATCACGACTTCCCCTGGAATTTCACATTTTTTTCACAGTGATTGTTGTGCATATTCTTTTGTATGCGTGTACATTATGTATATAGTGGTGGAACATTCATGTCTTCCATTGCATCACGGATATTTCCAGTCAATTCGTAAGAAAGCTTACAAATGTTTTCTTACGTGTTCTTTGTGTTTTCTGGCGGGTTATTTGTCTATTACTGAATTTGGATTAAGACTACTCCATCCTGATTCACATTTTCCTTGTCACGCATCTCGATGCCGTCCCTCGGATGCCCACATTAAGCAAGTTTACTTAGGTACATGGACAGCTGTACACAAGTACAATTGTCATACATAGTGTAAATTACCTAGTCATACAGAGCATAGGGAATGGGAGGTAATGAGACTGGGGCCGAAGAAGGAACTGTAGCTACAGTTCCTATGCCTGAGAGTTCTTCACTAGCATCAAGGCACCGCAACTCCCTTGACGCTGTAGGATGGGTACGAGGTGCACAATAAACTAGCCAGTATGGCTCAGAGGATGGATATGACACGCCAAACAAACTGATCTTCCATCCTATGGATATATGTAGTGCACGTTAAACTAACCTTGTCCTCAGAATGGGTGTGAGGTGCACAATAAACTAGCGGCTACAGTCCACTCGAAGAATATGTGGTGCACAATGAACTAGCTTGCCATCAACAGCATAGATATGGAGTGCGCTATAAACTAGCCTGTCGTCCATAGGATAGATATGGAGTACACAGTAAACTAGCCACTACCGTCCTCAGGACTGATATGTAGCGCACAATAAACTAGCCTACCGTCCACAGGGTGGATATGTGGTGCACAGTAAACTAAACGCTTTATCATGAAAAAAATGCAATTAAAATTAATACAAACTCACATGTCGGGTCGATACATTTCTCTTGATACACCTGGAGTATCACTGGAGATTGTTACGAGGGTCAACGCTCCCACGACCCAGTCTATGACCAGGTCTCGTGGTGGATCAGGGTCTGATCAACCACGCTGTTACTGCCTGCCGCACGCAAACCAACGTACGAACCACAGCCCGCTGGTCTGGTACTGACTTTAGGTGCCTCTCCAACTCCCTCTTATGGGCAGCCAGGAGTCTATTGGTAATCCCCCTTATGTATACTGGGAGGCATTTGTACAAGCTTGGGCCCCTGATACTTTTTGTGGCTTCTCTTAGCGTACTCATGGTTTCCCTGCCTTTCACTGGGGAATGTTGCTCGCCTGCCAAGTTTTTTTCCTTCGTTGGGAGTGATTCCCGTGTACATATTTGAGAATAGTCCCTCTAGAATTTTCCAAGCGTGTATTATCATATATCTTTCTCGCCTGTGTTCCAAGGAGTACAGGTCAAGGGACTTTAACCGTTCCTAATAATTTAGGTACTTTATTGTGCTTACACACGCAGTGAAAGTTCATTGTGTATTCTCCAGGTCTGTAATTCCTCTGGCCTTGAAAGGGGCAGTTAGTGAATAGCAGTACTCCAGCTTAGAGAGAGCAAGCTATTTGAAAAGAATCATCACTGGCTTGGCATCTCTAGTTTTAAAGGTTCTCATTACCAATACTCTCGTTTTCCTAGCAGATGTTGTAGAAACATTGTTGTGATCTTTGACAAGAAGATTATCTGGCATCATCACTCCCAGGTCCTTCACATTAGTTTATCCTTCTACTTTGTGGTTGGAATTTGTTTTAAACTCCGAGTCAGTTTTCATTTCTTCGAATTTTCCATAGCGGAGTAATGGAAATTTGCCCTCTCACAACTTCACGTTGTTTTCTGAGGTCCATTTCAAGACTTGGACCTCTTGGAGATTTGTAGTGTCATCAGTAGATGACAGTCATGCAAATTCTGACATCGTCATTAAAGGAGGACACGGTGCTGTGGCTTACATCTCTGTCTATGTCAGACATGAGGATGAGAAAGAGAATGGGAGCGACCCTACCAGGACTGAACCTCAGACTTCGCAGACGCGCGCGCGCACACACATACACACATGTTAGGAAGAATCAGTCATAAAGTGGTCAGGAAGTGGAACAGTCTGGCGAGTGATGTAGCGGAGGCAGGAACCATACATAGCTTTAAGACGAGGTATGATACGGCTCATGGAGCAGGGAGAAAGAGGACTTAGTAGCGTTCAGTGAAGAGGCAGGGCCAGGAGCTGAGTCTCGACCCTTGCAATTACAATTAGGTGAGTACACACACACACACACACACACACACACACACACACACACACACACACACACACACACACACACATACACACACACACACACACAGACGATGTGAAGCTAATGAGGAGAATTCAATCGGATGAGGATCAGGCAGAACTACAAAGGGATCTGGACAGGCTGCAAGCTTGGTGCAACAACTGGCTCCTAGAGTTTAACCCCTCCAAGAGCAGAGTCATGAAGATCAGGGAAGGGCAAAAAGACCACAGAGTACAGTCTAGGGGGCCAAAGACTGCAAGCCTCATTCAAGCAAAAGTATATTGGGGTATGATATAGAGCACATCACCTGAGGCGCACATCAACCAAATAACTGCTGCAGCATATGGGCGACTAGTAAACCTAAGAATGGCTTTCTGACACCTCAGTAAGCAATCGTTCAGGGCTCTGTACACTGTGTTCGTCAGGCCCATACTGGAGTATGCAGCACCTCACATCTAGCTAAGCACGTCAAGAAATTAGAGAAAGGGCAAGACTAGTCCCGGAGAGGTTAAGGGAAATCGACATGACACTGGAGGACAGGAAAGACAGGGAGGTGGGACATGATAACAACATATAAAATACTGAGAGGAATTGACAGTGTGGACGGATACAAAATAATCCAGAGATGGGAGACAGCAACAAGGGGTCACAATTGGAAGTTGAAGACTCAGATGAATCACAGGGATGTTAGGTAGCATTTCTTCAATCATAAAGTTGTCGGGAAGTGGAACAGTCTGGAGAGTGATATAGTAGAGGCAGGATCGATATACAGCTTTAAGAAGAGGCATGGCAAGGCTCATGGAGCAGGGAGAGAGCAGACCTAGTAGCGTCCAGTGAAGAGGCGGGGCCAACAGCTATGACTCGGCTCCTGTAGCCACAATTAGGTGTACACACACACACACGCACACACACACACACATAACTAACACACACACACACACACACACACACACACACCTAAACTAAGCCGGGAGAGTGAACGCTCGGTCGCTGCAGTTTGCTGAGATGAGATGAAAAGCTGTAAGCCTTCTCCCTGAAAGCTGGCTGCCTTGGATCAAAGTCTAGCGCAAGCTGGACTCCAAGATATTGGTCCAGTGTGGGTAGATTGGTAAAGCACTGCGTACCTTGTTCCAAGGTTCGTAGGTTCGAATCTCCTTCAGTCAGAGATCAGTGTTTGTGTATATTTCGCCTGCTCTTGCGAATTCCTTGCATATATATATATATATATATATATATATATATATATATATATATATATATATATATATATATATATATATATAAGGCAATTACGTACAAATTTATTAAGGCAATCTTCTGGCAACCTATCTGGTCATTTCGTCACCGATCTGTATAAATTAGGTTAAATTAGTTTATTAGTCAGAAGAAATATCGAGGTTAGTTTTGTTTAAGACCTATTGACCGTACGAGGTTCATTAAGACCTGTCGCCCAAGACAGGTCTTTCACCCTTGAAATATTAAACAGAGGGTATACATACTATCAGTGTATACGCACAAATACTCTGCATATTTACAGGCACAAGCCACCCTGTAATATGCATTGTATCAACGATGTAATTTATATGATTTCAGTGGAATTCAGATAAAATAAATAAACCACAGTTATGAAGAGAATATATATGCTCAGAAATGTGTGTATTGATCACCGAGTAAACAACAGGTATGTATTTCTCAGTGTATATAAAATTTAATTTATTCCCCTTCCTATGGAATAAAATATCCTAATTCTATAACACAAATGAAAGTCCAATGATCACACAACAGACTAAAACACAAGAAGACAAGTTAATTACTTCAGTAACTACAAAAATATAACAGAAAATATGAAACAATATAATATATGTAACATTACTTTCAGGATTACTGAGTGAAATATTAATCCAACATAATATAAGTGAACGACCTACCTTGCTTAATCTTGAAATTTTTCAAGCACCAAACTTACACTACTGCTCCTTAGTTGTGTTAGAATACAACCATGAAGGAATTTTGAAGATTTGCATTTCCTTCTGTTTTTTTGTGAGAAGCGGTATACCTGCATGGGTTATTCATTACGATGACTATCGGAGGCTTGATCCTCCGTCCGCTAATCACGAAACAGACATGCCTCTTATTCGAGGTACAAGCTAAGAGTTACAGAGCGCTGGCACCAACAATGGCTTTCAGCGCTCATGTTAATAACATGGAAAATATACACATGCCACACACTAGCGCATGAAAACACTAAAAAAAAAAAAAGTCTCAATTAACCAATAAACATTCTCACACGAGGCTCAAATAAATAAAACATTCCATCTTCACATGTGAGCGTGAGTACCAACCTTCTTCAGTAGCGAGTGTGGTCGAAGCAGTCCACAACAACAGCAGAAGTAGACGAAGGAGGGAGATCATGGTGTAAGGCCAGACGTTGTAAATATTTATAAGATCCACTATTCTTCCTCTGAGGGAACTAAATATGGAGTCAGGCACCGTGAAATTGTTTATCTACTATGAAAGATTTTTCCAAACGTCGTATGTCAGATATGTATATGTTATATACGTGTATTTAAACATTGATAATAAATAAAGGAATTCAAACTCTAGGAACCCTTTTGTTGAAAAGTAAGTTACACATCACAATCTGGGAGCAAAAAAGTTCTCATATTTGCTGTGAAAGTTTACACGAATGTCAGAAATCACTTAAAAGTAGTAAAATACGGAGAAATAAGAGCGTAGTTTACGTAGGTACAGTAGGGTCAATAAGTTCCCGTGGGGCTCACTTGCCGCCTCATTACCACTATCTCATTACCCTAACATCACCACCAACCGGAGCGACAAAAGCAGCAGCGCGAGCACTGCACTGCCAACGTTGTTTCACGTCCCCTTCAGCGACACCTGCCGGAGACACACTGAGCCGCAGCTAGTCTGCTGCTGCTGGCTGCCAGGTTCTGCTCAGACGCACATGCTCCTGTTCGAGCCCCGCTCACGCGCCGCCGCTGCCCTTCGTCTGCCCCGCCCTGAGCAACTAACACCGTGCTCAGGTGGTGGCGGCTAACTCAACAGTGCACAGGAATTAAGCTAATAACTCATTTAATTTAACACCATGCTATCCAGCCGCAAAGGATGGCTACTGGGAGCTTCAACAAACACGTTTTCACACTTGTACATAAAATATCTTTACACTCAATGATAATCCCATACGCTCGTCAGGGCAACGATTTATTAAGGGATCTACTTTTTTACCCAGCTCTATTTTGTTTTACAGTCTAAGAGTTGTTAGTCTGCCTCAACTCATTTCAAAGCCCATTCCTCTCTAATGTATGCTAACCGCCTCCTGGTATGGGACCCACAACAGTCGACTAACACCCAGGTACCTACTTACTGCTGAATGAATAGGGTGAGCATGTGTAAGGAAACATGCCCAACGTTTCCACCCGTGCTGGGGATTGAACTCTCGGTATGTTAACTGAGTGCGTTACGAACAGAACCACAAGCAACCACAATGAAAGGCGTGTAAGGCAGCTATACACTCGACCACGGCACTTTCCCCAGACGTGGTAGCGTGAGTAAGGCACGTTCCCCCCAGCCACCTCTGTATCCTGGGGAGGTGAGAGCGAGAGAACCTGCCACTTTCCACACAGAGAGGGGAGCTTACTGACTACTCAACACTCTCACTTCACCAAGGCTTGAAATGCATCTTTTCCACGAAACAAATCTGTGTGTGTGTGTGTGTGTGTGTGTGTGTGTGCGAGGAGAGAGAGAGAGAGAGAGGAGAGAGAGAGAGACATAGTTATGCTTAAAGCTCATCGATTACACGAGGGTCATTAAGGCTGCATGTCACCTGTTCACAGCCAGTCGGGAATACTTCAACCCCAAGAATATGGATTTGAAGTGTATATACCCTGAGAGATGCAAACCTCTCGGTGTACATACATTGAGCGACGTACACTTCTTGGTGTATATATATAAATAAATACTTCTTGATACGTATACACAGGCAAATACCTCTTGATGTATATACTGAGATACATGCTTCTCGATGTATATACAATGAGAGACGTGCACTTTTTGGTGTACATATCACTAGTACCAAGACCAGCAGTGTAATATAGCTTCTGCACCGCGCGTGCTTCAAGAATCAAGTGAGCAGAACCAAGTAAGCTTTTGAACCCCGTGTGCTTCTGAGCCACGAGTGTTCATGAACCACGAGTGTTTCTGAACCACGAGTGTTTCTGAACCACAAGTGTTTCTGAACCACGAATGTTTCTGAACCACAATTGTTTCTGAACCACGAATGTTTCTGAACCACGAGTGTTTCTTACCCACGAGTGTTTCTAACCCACGAGTGTTTCTGAACCACCAGTGTTTATGACCCACGAGTGTTTCTGAATCACGAGTGTTTCTGAACCACGAGTGTTAATGAACCACGTGTGTTTCTGAACCACGAGTGTTCCTAAACCATGAATGTTTCTGAACCACGAGTGTTTCTGAACCACGAGTGTTTATGAACCACGTGTTTTTCTGAACCACGAATTTTTCTTAAGCACGAGTGTTCTGAACCACGTGTTTTTCTGAACCACGAATGCTTATGAACCACGAGTGTTTATGAACCACGAGTGTTTATGAACCACGAGTGTTTATGAAGTACGAGTGTTTATGTACCACGAGTGTTTATGAAGCACGAGTGTTTATGTACCACGAGTGTTTATGAACCACGAGTGTTTCTGAACCACAAGTGTTTATAAACCACGAGTGTTTATGAACCCCGAGTGTTTATGAAGCACAAATGTTTCTGACCCATAAGTGTTTCCGAACCACGAGTGTTTATGAACCATGAGTGGTGGTTATGAACCACGAGTGTTTCTGACCCACGAGTGTTTCTGAACCACGAGTGCTTATGACCCACGAGTGTTTATGAACCACGAGTGTTTATGAACCACTAGTGTTTATGAACTACGTGTGTTTCTGAACCACGAATGTTTCTGAACCACGAGTGTTTATGAACCACGTGTTTTTCTGAACTACGATTTTTTCTTAAACACGAGTGTTCTGAACCACGTGTTTTTCTGAACCACGAATGTTTATGAACCTCGAGTGTTTATAAACCACGAGTGTTTATGAACCACAAGTGTTTATAAACCACGAGTGTTTATGAGCCACGAGTGTTTATGAAGCACAAATGTTTCTGACCCAAAAGTGTTTCTGAACCACGAGTGTTTATGAACCACGAGTGTTTCTGAACCACGAGTGTTTATGAACCACGAGTGTTTATGAACCACGAGTGTTTATAATCCACAAGTGTTTCTAACCCATAAATGTTTCTGAACCTCGAATGTTTATTAACCACGAGTGTTTATGAACCACCAGTATTTCTGAACCACGAGTGTTTATGAACCACAAGTATTTATGAACCACGAGTGTTTATGAACCACGAGTGTTTGTGAACCACGAGTATTTCTAAACCACGAGTGTTTATGAAACACGTGCGCCTCGAAAATGATTGAGTTGCACTTCGATGAAAAAGTTGTTTCTCTCCCCTTCCTCGGATCAAACCTAGTTATCTCTCAGTTCCCCAGGCGTTGTACAACCCATACGGGTAATACGCTTGCATTTTATTAGAACAACGTACTCTATGCTAAATAGTCATAGATATCTAATGTTCACAGAAAGATTTTGATTTTTTTTATACAAATTGTGAAAGCACATACCCCATTGTGTGTGTGTGTACTCACCTAGTTGTACTCACCTAGTTGAGGTTGCGGGGGTCGAGTCCGAGCTCCTGGCCCCGCCTCTTCACTGATCGCTACTAGGTCACTCTCCCTGAGCCGTGAGCTTTATCATACCTCTGCTTAAAGCTATGTATGGATCCTGCCTCCACTACATCGCTTCCCAAACTATTCCACTTACTGACTACTCTGTGGCTGAAGAAATACTTCCTAACATCCCTGTGATTCATCTGTGTCTTCAGCTTCCAACTGTGTCCCCTTGTTACTGTGTCCAATCTCTGGAACATCCTGTCTTTGTCCACCTTGTCAATTCCTCTCAGTATTTTGTATGTCGTTATCATGTCCCCCCTATCTCTCCTGTCCTCCAGTGTCGTCAGGTTGATTTCCCTTAACCTCTCCTCGTAGGACATACCTCTTAGCTCTGGGACTAGTCTTGTTGCAAACCTTTGCACTTTCTCTAGTTTCTTCACGTGCTTGGCTAGGTGTGGGTTCCAAACTGGTGCCGCATACTCCAATATGGGCCTAACATACACGGTGTACAGGGTCCTGAATGATTCCTTATTAAGATGTCGGAATGCTGTTCTGAGGTTTGCTAGGCGCCCATATGCTGCAGCAGTTATTTGGTTGATGTGCGCTTCAGGAGATGTGCCTGGTGTTATACTCACCCCAAGATCTTTTTCCTTGAGTGAGGTTTGTAGTCTCTGACCCCCTAGACTGTACTCCGTCTGCGGCCTTCTTTGCCCTTCCCCAATCTTCATGACTTTGCACTTGGTGGGATTGAACTCCAGTAGCCAATTGCTGAACCAGGTCTGCAGCCTGTCCAGATCCCTTTGTAGTTCTGCCTGGTCTTCGATCGAGTGTATTCTTCTCATCAACTTCACGTCATCTGCAAACAGGGACACCTCAGAGTCTATTCCTTCCGTCATGTCGTTCACAAATACCAGAAACAGCACTGGTCCTAGGACTGACCCCTGCGGGACCCCGCTGGTCACAGGTGCCCACTCTGACACCTCGCCACGTACCATGACTCGCTGCTGTCTTCCTGACAAGTATTCCCTGATCCATTGTAGTGCCTTCCCTGTTATCCCTGCTTGGTCCTCCAGTTTTTGCACCAATCTCTTGTGTGGAACTGTGTCAAACGCCTTCTTGCAGTCCAAGAAAATGCAATCCACCCACCCCTCTCTCTCTTGTCTTACTGCTGTCACCATGTCATAGAACTCCAGTAGGTTTGTGACACAGGATTTCCCGTCCCTGAAACCATGTTGGCTGCTGTTGATGAGATCATTCCTTTCTAGGTGTTCCACCACTCTTCTCCTGATAATCTTCTCCATGATTTTGCATACTATACATGTCAGTGACACTGGTCTGTAGTTTAATGCTTCATGTCTGTCTCCTTTTTTAAAGATTGGGACTACATTTGCTGTCTTCCATGCATCAGGCAATCTCCCTGTTTCGATAGATGTATTGAATATTGTTGTTAGGGGTACACATAGCGCCTCTGCTCCCTCTCTCAACACCCATGGGGAGATGTTATCTGGCCCCATTGCCTTTAAGGTATCTAGCTCACTCAGAAGCCTCTTCACTTCTTCCTCGGTTGTGTGCACTGTGTCCAGCACTTGGTGGTGTGCCCCACCTCTCCGTCTTTCTGGAGTCCCTTCTGTCTCCTCTGTGAACACTTCTTTGAATCTCTTGTTGAGTTCTTCACATACTTCACGGTCATTTCTTGTTGTCTCTCCTCCTTCCTTCCTTAGCCTGTGTGTGTGTGTGTGTGTGTGTGTGTGAAAGGGGGTCTCATTTTTGGTCTTGACATTCTTTGACAATGTATCATGGCGAAAATATTTTCAAAATTTCACTTCAGTTCAGTTGTCACTTTGCATATCTGAGATACGGTCGTATCGTGGTCTTGAGATACGGTCGTATCATGGTCTTGAGATACGGTCGTATCATGGTCTTGAGATACGGTCGTATCATGGTCTTGAGATACGGTCGTATCATGGTCTTGAGATACGGTCGTATCATGGTCTTGAGGTACGGTCGTATCATGGTCTTGAGATACGGTCGTATCATGATCTTGAGATACGGTCGTATCATGGTCTTGAGATACGGTCGTATCATGGTCTTGAGATACGGTCGTATCATGGTCTTGAGATACGGTCGTATCATGGTCTTGAGATAAGGTCGCACCATGACCTCAAGATACAGTTGCACCATGGCCCCCAGATACAGTTGCACCATGGCCCCAGATACAGTTGCACCATGGCCCCCAGATACAGTTGCACCATGGCCCCCAGATACAGTTGCACCATGGCCTCCAGATACAGTTGCACCATGGCCTCCAGATACAGTTGCACCATGGCCTCCAGATACAGTTGGACCATGACCTCC